ATATAATACAAGGATCCGTCTATGCCCACCAGAAGAATCCTCTACACAATAGCTACTCGTCAAGCTGCACATGCAACAGGGGTAAATAAACCCTGAGTACACAATGTACTCGTAAGACTTACCCGACTAGTGAGAATAATTTCCGACTCCAAATGATATGATAAGCTTTTTGGGTTGCTGGGTTTTTTTGCGAAAAGCAATACTAGTACTGAATCCTTATGTATGTTTTTTATTAGCAGTCATGATTAGTTCATTATCTAACCATTCTAGGTAAGCACATGTTCTACTTTCAAGCAAGAGTTGAGCAAACAAATCTATTTCACCATCTTTCATCTTCCAGTTCTTATTACTACGGTGCTAGAGTGTAGACAAGTCATACTGGATTACCCGGCGATTCGCAAATCAATGTGCCCAGCTGGGTATCCCAAAACACACGCTCCGCTATTACCCTAGGCACAAGCAGGACCAACACACCACTCTCCTGTCAAGGGGTCTAGGTCCCCGTCCAAACTTGGACTCCAAGCCCCCACACCAGAGTCCCGGACTCAGTGTGGTGCTTAGACCTCCACCATCCCCGCCTCCAATCTGTCGGTCCGAAAAGAGCCAGAACCACGACAAGAGAGCAACGAGCCTTCTTTGCTCCCATAAACAAGTATGTGCTCAGAATAATAAGTCTGTGACTTGACTAGAACCTAATGCAATGGTTGGTCCTTAACCGACACGGACAGGGAAAACAGTGTAACCAAGCTATGCCCCGTTGGCCGCGGGACACAACCTCTTACACCCACCAATACCCATACCACATCCCTGTCCGGTCTCCATTTTCCTTTCACCATTTTATCATAAGGGTGATAATAATAATCATCTATTGTGAGTAACGACATGTTACTCATGCTACCAAAAATCCTAAGCATAGCAGCTACTCGCACCTGTACTAGTAGGACTCGTAGGACAGATATATTTATGCAGGTGGTTTTCATAAAATGCCTGTAATGTAAATGCACATCACGGGTATATATATTCAGTGCTTATTCAAAATAAGGATTATGCACCGGGGCTTACCTTGGGCAGGCGGGGTGTCAGCAAAGTCAGTCGCTGGTAGATCTGGGGCTCCCTCTTGTACGAGAGCATCCTCCTCGTACTCCTCGATCACCTCCTCATACTCCTACTCACCCACGATCACGAACTCCACCAACTCGTTCTCTACATACATGCAATAACGATGCAACACTCAATATTAAGGCAACAACAGTTCTTAAAATAAGAATACATCTACTAAGCCACTAAGCTATCTCTAATGACTAAGATACTGAGCTAATCATCATTCCCATCAAACCAGCAGGGTTTCACCTACAAGTGCTACTTAGCAGCTAAAATATATTCTTACTCTTATTAACAATTTCCTATATACTACAACAAGGAGTACTTAGCTATCATATTTCTCAACCTATTCTAAGGCTACAAAAATTCCTACAAATACTAACCTAAATAATACTAAACACTCGCAAATGATTCAATAGCCGCTGGGATCCATAAATATATATATATATATGAACTAAATACACTAATAGATAGAGCATAATTTTAGGAACCTAATAAAATTGGTTTCATAATTTTTGGACATCTACAGAATTTGCTATAATTTTCCAAAGATCAGCTCAAAACTAAATTAGAAAAATATTTGCTCATTCGCTGGGAAAAGGAAAACCAATTCTCGCGTGGCCCACGCGAAGCAGGCCCACGCGCGAGGTGGCCCGCGGCGGGGAAGCCCGCGCGCACTGGTACTCTTGCAAAAATACCCCTAAACTCTGGGCAAACTAACCCACAGTCTATGTCACTATTTCTAGCGAGAGCAACTATGCAACAAAACCCTCAGAAACTCCCTCCTTTACAATGGCATGGTTCTTGGCCACCCGCGCGCGCGCCGACGCGACGACGATGGCATTGGACGACCACGCCAGCCAGCTGGGACCCGCGCTGGCTCCACTAACAGGCCGACCCCCGTCTACAACCCTAGCGCCTACACTAGCCTAGGTTACTGGAGCGACGGAGCTCACGGAAGTGGTGACCACGGCGTGCGGCCATGCGCGACAGTGGCGCGGCCATGCCGGCCACCCTAAGCCACCGTGGGGTGAACTAGCTAGCGCTATAGCATCACTATCTTACCCTGGTTGCGGCTGCGGTGGTGGTTTGGCCGGAGGTTCCCCGAACAGGGCTAGCCACGTGCGGGTGGTGGGATGCGGCAGCGCTCTGAGACGGCGCGGCCACGTCAGTGGCTACGGCGTGGCGGTAGAGGTGCGCAGGGTGAAGTGGAGGTGGAGACGGAGTTCGTGGTGTAGATGGATTGATGAGAGGTGGAGCGGTGAGTGGCTGCCCTCGGCCACGGCCGGTCCCGGCCTTAATGGCACGGCGGGGGAAAACTTCCAAATTGGAGTTCGTCGTGGTTCGATTCAAGGCGGGGTGGGGACGGTTGCCACGCGGACATCAATGCGCATACACGGGCATGCGAAATTGAAGGCAAGTGCCTGCGCCCTGGCTCACCGTGGCCGCGACGTGACAGCGGAAACAGAGGTGGTCGGGCGCACAAAGGCGGATAGGGAAGAAACGAGAGGATGGGAGGCGGTGAGGACGCTGTCGGTAGCTGGCGAGCGCACCTTAGCGCGATGCGGCTGGCGTAACCAGTACGGCCCACGGCCGGCGCTAGCCGATGGCACGCGCTCGAGGTCGGCATGGTTCTGCTACACAGAAGTGCCATAAATGGCATGCGCGGCGGCGGTCCAACCCGCAGACGCGCCCAGCGCGGACCGACGCGATGGCGCGCGATGCGGGAAAGCGAGCGAGAAAGCAAGACGGTGGCGCGCGACAACGGCGGCGTCGCGGCGTCTTGACGGGAAGCGGTAGCGTGGGGTAGGTGGTAACGCGGCCTTTCGGTTAGGCGAAAAAGAAAGAACGCGACAACAACAAAGAAGAAAGCGTTAGAAGCGCGCTGACGGACGAAGTCGGGCAGCCACGGCTCCGCACGGCGGCAGCTCGAGGCGGCTAGTGATGCGCGGCGAGCAAAGAACGCGGGCAACGGGACGGGACGTCCGCCGGCAGAAGTGGCTTATTAACGGCGGTCAGACGCCGGGCCAGCGTGGCGGCGAAGATCACAGCAGCCTGAGCCGAGCCGACCAGCCCACGGTGGACAGCCGAGCGTGCCAACACGCGCGCGTAGAACACCCGACGCGGCAGCGTCGTGCCCCCGGTGCTGGTGATCGCGCTCAACCGGAAAAACAGCCCGAGAACACGCCAAGCATGGATTTTAAAGCGCTCGAGAAACCTAAACCGTTGATCCAATTCCTAAACCACCTTTGCTATACCTTAGAGGGTATATTAGGCTACTAAAACAAGTCATAATACAACACCACTCCATAACCCAATTTCTCTACAAAAATTACCAAACATAGCTTTATCAATATGTTTTCAGCCTTAAGAATTTGACTAAGTCTTGAATTAGATTTGCTTCAAATTCTATAAATGTTACCTAACGTTACTATCTTATTAAAATAAAAGTTGCACTATCTTCTATAAAACGTCTACTTCAAACTTTATTAAGGTGTCACATATATGTTTTATAGTACTTTTGCTTAATAAAAATTGGTTTCCAACCTTAAGTGATATAACATGCCTATTGAATTCTCTTTATGTATCATTTGTGTTAATCATTTTTCATGCCAAGAAATTTATCTTTGCTCATTCTCACATGCATTAACACATAATCATGATACTCAGAAAGTGTTATTAGTAGAAAACTTGCAGTGTAACACCGAGGGTGTTACAAAGTATGTGCGTCCGGTCACTGTCTCGCTCTCGCTCAGCGTCCGATCATTGCTGCTGACGCCTGCTGTTGCAAAGCAACTGATCGGACGTGTCCGATCCTCATAGGGCCACATCCGGTCACCTCTATGGAGCTTGTTTCTTCACGATCTTGCGTCACGGCTTGATTCCTATCTTCGTGCTTGAACTTTGCTTATATTTTGGATATCTCTTGTGCTTCTAGGGTCTTACTTAAGATGTTGATCATCGGATCATCATGTCGTCTTCGTCCAAGTCACGTTTGCACCCTATTGAACTACAAAATAATTATTTACAAATTCATTAGTCCAATTTTAATTATGTTGGTCATCAAACATCAAAATCTAAAATAAATGAGCCTAGAGTCCATTTTCCCTCAGACGCCGGGCTTTCTCTTCTTCGAGGTTCAGTGTTGCCAATTGCCGATGAACAGGACAGAACAGGTCGCCTCGTTGTCGTCACCCGCCCCCAGATTGGCGATTACCATGCCAATTGCCGCATCTTGTCTTGTCTTAAACCGGTTTTGCCTGCCTTGCTGATACAATACAACAGCACGCCACAGTTTCAGGATGGCACAAGCAACGGCTCATGCCTGCCTGCTGGTCGCTTACTCCAGATAGCCAACAACAGAGCACACTGTTCGTTCCAATCAGCAGCATACTACCTCAGATTCAGACGGCTCACATCTGCAAGTACCCTCCACTTATGGCATTGCTTGGAGCTGGACATGATTCAGTTTTGGAACCCAACAACAGACTGAACCTGCCTGCCTGTTCCGTACACGCACAGGAAGGCTGGCACCTGGAATCATGATGTTGCATTGCACACCTCCAACACTCCATCCAGGACGGACAAACTTCAGTCTTTCTTGTTATCTTACCCCATTCAGCAGGACACTCTCACTGTCCAGCAGATTTTCAACAACTCGGACGGTCTCACATGCATCTCAGATAAGCTCGCACAAAGATAGCACACCTAGATGGTAGCATCAACAACTTAAACCAGATCAAACAACATTACAGCTTCCTTTCCGACCTTACATTTTTCCCTTTAGAACAGATACAGACACAAGGTAAGTACACAACAACCTTTTCCTTTAAACGAACTTCTTTTGCCTCAACCCCCCACTAGTTTAGCAACCTACCTTTCCTCAGCTGCAACCATCATCACCAGAAACCCGGACCAAAACCATATGGCGGCCTCTGCACCAACCTATTGTCGATGCGCTGCACTTGCTGAGCACCATTGATACCAAACGGGTGAAGAAACCCATTCGCCATGGGATGGTGGACGGATGGAGGGCCAAAGAAAGCCTGGCCTTGATGCTGCAGCTGAATACCAGGATTGAAATGAAGGAAATTACCCTGTGGTTGACCTACCAATCCTTGATGAGGATGAGGATGAGGATGAGGATAGGCTGGATGCAGATGTGGTGGTGGCAACCCATAACCAAAAGCAGAAGGGCTGATCAGGTGCTGAGGTATATGCGCAAACTGATCAACAATTGGCTGGGTGAGCCGATGTGCTTGGGGAATAAAAAAAGGACGAGGCCTTGAACTAGAAACATGAGTATTAGCAGCACGGCCGGTGGATACAGTAGCCTTCACTTTCTTTTGTTGCACATGACTGCTTCCTGAGTCAGGTCCCACCTTGCTGCTCTTCTTCTTATCTTTCTGTCCGGTAGGGATGATTAGCTTCTCCAGCCCAAGGGGCTTCTCTTGATCAAGAGGCTTCTTGTTATTCTTCTGGATGGGGGAAATTACTGTCTTGTCCTGCACAAGGAGCTTCTTCTTGTCATCTTTCTGGCCAGGAGAAATGACTAGCTTATCCTGGTCAAGGGGTGTGGTCTTCTTAGCATCTTTCTGAATGGGAGAACTAACTGACTTCTGATCAAGGGGCTTCTTACCATCTTTCTGACCAGGAGATATGACTAGTTTATCCTGCTCAAGGGCCTTCTTCTTCTTAGCATTTTTCTGAATAGGGTTAGTGCTTGTCTTATTTGGATTAGCACGCTTCCTCTTAACAGTTTTCTGACGGGGATTAGTGACTGGGTTAGCCTGGTTCAAAGGCTTAAACAACAGGGCCTTTAGCTTGGGCGCAGCAATTTTACCCTCAGAAAACTTGCTCAAATCAGAAACAGTAGCCCTTAGGCATTCACAGATTTTCTGCATCTCCTTCATCCCTACCGATCTGGCAAAATTCTGAGATCGGTCCAAGAAGTCCTCAACCTGCATGAATTGTTTCGCTACATAAACAAAGTTTTGCATGCACCATCTAATACAATGTTAAACCAAAATTCATAGAACTTACATTCAAGTTGCCAACACCCTTCGCCCAGGTCTTCGATATCCATGACCCTTCAAAATTGCTAGCACAGAGCCCTTGCTCCCATAAACCCTCCACTGACACTAGCTGCACCAGACAAGGCCAAGAATGTACATAAGTGAGCAGAATGAGCCACAATAACGTGTAAACTTTGTCAAAAAAAAAAACAGTTTTCACAGGCAGTGTATATGCAGCCACAATACCAAAAGAAAGAACTAGAATCTAACTGTAACTAGCTACATGCTAGATTTTTTTTTTTAAAAAAGCAACCTAAGAGGAACCACCGATCTGGGCGGTATTTTATTAATAAGAAGAAACAGTTATCATATGGCGCCCAGGGGGGCTGGGTATTAGGCAATAGGAGATTGTATATTGCATATATTAGGCAATAGGAGATTGTATATTGCATATTTAGGCAGTCCAGTCAATTAGGATCAGAGATTTACTCCTGTCCTTGTATTTGTAAACTGCCATATATAGCAGCAGCAGCTGCCCTATAATAGAGGCGCCCCTCTCCCATTGAGAGTGTGGCTTATTGCCCCAACATCATCTTCTACATGGTAATCAGAGCAATCTGATCTTGGCCCTCCCTCTCCTCCCTCAAGCCTGCGCCGCTCTCTCCCTGAGTGCCGCCCAACCTTGCTGCGCCGCCAAACAGCCGCGCCATCATGACCACAGAATCCTCCACCACCTCCGCCACCTCTCCAGCCATGGCTGAAGCCATAAACCCAACCGTTTGCCCATATGCTATGGTAAACGTCAAGACCCACATCCCCATGACCCTCGAGCTGCGACCCTCCAACTACACCAAGTGGTCCACAGCTTTCAACGCCATGTGTGGCAAATTCGGGCTGCTCTCGCACCTTGACGTCGTCTCCCCTACGCCCACCGATGATGCATGGGTGCAGGCTGACTTCTGCATCCGCAGTTGGATCTTCGGCACCGTCTCCGACTCCGTCCTCAACCTCGCTATGACCGGCGCCCAGCAGACCGCCGGCCAGCTCTGGACAGCCATCGCCGCCCTATACCAAGCTAACAAGGCGCCCCGCGCTGTTTTCCTAAGTCACGAGTTCCACTCGTTGACCCAGGGCGACTCCTCCATCGACGAGTACTGCGTGCGCATGAAGGAGGCTGCCGACAATCTTCGCGACGTCGGGCAGACCATCACCGAGTCCAACCTCGTCCTCAACCTGCTCCGCGGCCTCAACGAGAAGTACCAATCCGTCGCCGACAACATCGGCGCCCCAGAACCCCTCACCTTTGTTGTTGCAGAACCAACTCCTCCTCAAGGAACTCCGTCTAAAGAACGAGGAGAAGGTGCGCGCTGCCTCAGCCCTTTCGCCGCCTTCACCGGCGCTTCTAGTGGCGCCCCGGTCGAGTCCCAGTGAAGAATCGCGCCGGTGGCGAAAGAATCAAGGCAAAGAATAAAGCAAAGCCGCGCGCAACAACACACAACGGCGGCGGCCGCCGCGACAACCCTCGGCGTGGCAAAGAAGCGTCAGCCACAGGGTTTTGATCCTTGGACTGGTGCGTGTCAACCCCGTGCTGAAGCGTCATATACCCCACAGGAGCGCGACCGTAGGCGGTTCCGGCACCTCGGCAACCCCACACATGGCAGCCCCCACGCCAACAGGGGGTGCTCGGTGCCTCTCCTCAGCGCACACGGCGTTCGCCCCGCCCGAGCTTCTCCAACAACAACGGTGGACCGACATGGGACTCGGCCGACCTCATTTCGCCTCGCAACACTTGACTCGTCCGAGGCAGCCCCTCATGGGTTGTTGACTCCGCGCTTCATCCCACATGACGCCCTCCGATGGTATGCTCCTCCAGCGCCTACCCCCCTCCACCTCCTCTATAACAGTAGGCAATGGCACTAGCATTCCGGTCACGTCTAGAGGTCACTCCATCCTTCCCACCGCCACAGCAAACTTCTCCCTCAATAACATTCTCGTCGCCCCTTCCCTCGTCCGTAATCTTTTATCCGTTCGTCAATTCACCCGTGAAAATCGCTGCTCTCTTGAATTTGACGCTCTTGGTTTTTCGTTAAGGATACCTGCACGGACGCGTGATTCATCGCTGCAATAGTACCGGTGATCTCTACACCATACCTGCTATCCCTCCGACCGCTGGCACCTCTTCACATGCTCTCCTGGCTGTTTCGTCGACCCTGTGGCACCAGCGTCTTGGCCATCCAGCCCCTGCTGCATTACAATGATTAAATAAAATACATCTTTGTTTCTTGTAATAAAGTAGACCGCTCCCTCTGTCATTCATGTCAACTAGGCAAGCATACGCGTCTACCCTTCAGTGCCTCTCAGTCTTGTTCTCATGCCCCGTTTGACCTAATTCATTGTGATGTTTGGACCTCTCCAATACCTAGCATATATGGTTTTTCATACTATTTAGTCTGCCTGGATGATTACAGTCACTATTGTTGGGTTTTTCCTCTTGACGCAAATCCGAGGTCCACCAACACTTAGTTGAGCTCACAGCTCTTGCACAAACCCAATTTAACCTCCTCAGAAATGCTTCCAAACCGACAATGGCACCGAATTAAATCAATACAACCACCACCACCTTCTTTCGCTTTTGCTCGGGGAACACTTCTCCGTCTCTCCACCTTATACACTTCCCTCAAAATGGCAAGGCGGAACGCACCATTCGCACCCTCAACAACTCAATTCGCACCATGCTGCTCCACGCTTCCATGCCGCTTTGACATCTGGGTGAGGCCCTTCTTGCCCTTTGCTACTTACTCAATAGGCGCCTTCCTCCTCCATATCCCATGAGGTTCCCTTCACTCGCCTCCATGGACAGCCACCCACCTACAGCCACCTTCGTGTTTTTGGGTGCCTATGCTACCCAAACCTACAGTGCTACCTCCCACATAAGCTCGCACTCGCTCCTCCATGGCATGCATTTTTTCCTTGGGTATCCATCCTCTCATAAGGGTTATCGATGTCTTAACACGGAAACTCAACGCATCATTATTTCTCGCCATGTTGTGTTCGATGAGACTGTTTTCCTTTTTCCACCATGCCGTCCTCCCATTCCTCGCTCCTGGATTTCCTTCTAGACAACGATTCGGTTTGGTTGCCTTGCTCTCTTGTTCCTCGCAGTGGAGGTCCCTCTCAACGACCACGGTTGCTCCGTCCACCACGGGCGGTGTGCTGTACCGCCGATGATGAGCCGACCCGGCTCTTCTTCTCACGCTCTGGGCGCACCTGCCCCCCAGCCCGGTTCGGCTTCTCCACCACCGGGCGGGTGTGGTCACGTGCCCCCGCCTGGCCTTCCTGTGGCTCCGTTCCCACGGACCTACAGTCGACGACCCCAGCCGGTGCCAGCGCCATCGGCTGTCCCTACAGCACCGGCGCCTCAGGCTGCAACCCCATCTCCGCCACTCACGCGCACGGACCGACGGCGCCATCCGCGTGTGAGCTACGAGGGCTCACGCCACCTCCTCGCTTTCACCATCGCTTTTTATCGGCGACTACGCCGCGGCATACTCGCCGATGCCAAGCTGGCGGGCTGCGATGATACGAGTACTGTGCACTCGTCGACAACGACACTGGCGTCTTGTTCCGCGCCTCTGGCGCGCGAACGTTAGACGGGCAAGTGGATTTTTCGGCACAAATTCCATGCCGATGGGTCCCTCGCTCGTCACAAGGCCTCATTGGGTGGTCCGCGGGTTTTCCCCAACGAGAAGGTATTGACTGACGACGAGACATTGATCCGGTGGTCAAGCAGAGCTACCATTCGGATTGTTCTCGGCATTGCCTCTCTCGCGCTGGCCGATCCATCAGCTGGATGTGAAGAATGCCTTTCTTCACGGCCACCTCGACGAGACGGTCTACTGTCAGCAGCCACCAGGTTTCGTCGACCCCGCCGCTGCAGATCACGTCTGCCTCCTGCAGAAGTCCCTCATGTACGGACTGAAGCAGGCCCCGCGTGCTTGGTACCAGCGGTTCGCGGCCTTCCTTCAACAGCTCGGCTTCGTCACCTCCGCCTCCGACACGTCCCTCTTTGTTCTCACTGAGGGGACGAGTCTTGCCTACTTGCTGCTCTACGTCGACGACATCATCCTCACCGCCTCAACTCCCGCTCTTCTGCAGCGACTCATGGCCCGACTCCAGTCTGAGTTCGCCATGACCGACTTGGGTGCTCTTCACCACTTCCTCGGCGTCGCCGTCACCCGCACCCGACGGCTGTTTCATCCACAACGGTGAAGACGCCGTCGATCTCTCCAATGGGCGGGCATGGTCGAGAAGTCATCCTCGTCAACCCCCGCTGACACTCAAAGCCAAGCTTCTCCATTGACGACGGCGATAAAGCGCGAGACAAGGACGGCTCGAGTTCAGAGCTTAGCAGGGCTCTTCATGACTGACTCGACGCGCGTCCGATCCGCTTATGCGATTCAACAGTGTGTCTCTTCATGCACGCGCCCAAAGGAGCCCCATGTGCGTCGATCAAGCGATTCTGCGCTATGTGAAGGGCATGCTATCCTCCGGTCTTCACATTGGCGCCCGGCTCCGTTCGAGACCGATGACGATACTCGATGTCGACCGGGCTGGTTGCCACGACTCCAGCGGTCCACTACGGTTTCTGCGTCTATCTGGCGACAACCTGGTCTCTGGTCCTCCAACGCTGGACCACGGTCTCTCGCTCTAGTCTTTGAGGCGCGAATACCGTCTTTGTGGCTCACGTTGTGGCCGAGTGCTGTTGGCTGCGGCAACTCCTTCAGGAGCTCCATCTTCCGCTGCCCCAGGCCACGGTGGTTTTCTGCGACAACGTTAGCGCCATCTACATGACGGCCAATTCAGTCCACCACAAGCGCACGAAGCATATTGAAATTGACATTCATTCACTTTGTGCGCGAGAAGGTGGCTCTTGGTGAGATTCGGGTCCTTCATGTTCCTTCATCTCATCGGTTCTTTGACATTATGACAAAAGGCTCCCCAACGCCACTGTTTCAAGAGTTGAGAACCAGCCACAATAACGTCATAAGCCCCGCAAAAAAAACAGCGGGTATTAGGCAATAGGAGATTGTATATTGCATATATTAGGCAATAGGAGATTGTATATTGCATATTTAGGCAGTCCAGTCAATTAGGATCAGAGATTTACTCCTGTCCTTGTATTTGTAAACTGCCATATATAGCAGCAGCAGCTGCCCTATAATAGAGGCGCCCCTCTCCCATTGAGAGTGTGGCTTATTGCCCCAACATCATCTTCTACACTGGGACCCTCCTTATCCTAGAGCATTGCATGTGATTGGCATCAATCGTCTCAATGGAAGTCAGGTTCATAGTGGCATGGTGAAAATTATTTACAGGAGTGAATGTGTTGTATCACCGAAGGGCGGGCCTGGTGCAAGCGGTAGAGTCTTACCGCCTGTGACCGGAAGGTCCCGGGTTCGAGTCGCGGTCTCCTCGCATTGCACAGGCGAGGGTAAGGCTTGCCACTGACACCCTTCCCCAAACCCCGCACAGAGCGGGAGCTCTCTGCACTGGGTACGCCCTTTTTTTTAATGTGTTGTATCACCCTCCAGAACACAGTTGATGTATGATGGGTTTTTTCTGTAATCCAAGTTCTAATCTAATGTGTTCCAGACCTTATATAGTGTCCTGAAAAGGTGTTCTTTATGGTTCTCATTTTATATTATATCCGAAACTGAAAAAAATATGCTACAATAGCATGGGCTCCAGGCTAGACAGGTTACATAATCAGCAACCATTGAACAGAAAAAAATGGAATCCGTAGCTTCTACGAAACTGAGAAATTATGCTATATAATAGCATGGACTCCAGGTTAGACACGTTATTCTGCTTTACATAAAATATCAAACTACAAAGATAAAGTTTTTATTGGACCATCGAAACATGGGTTGCCGTTAGTCTCTGTTTGGGGAAGATCTGGCAACTGAAACTAATGATGCAGATAACGAGGGCGCCAGCAACCTGGGTGTCCATGTCCACACCCTCAACCAACTGAGCTAGTTCAGCTTCCTAGATGAATGACAGAGTTATCACGCCTGGTGAGATGAATGAATTATGTCACCAGGTGTGATAACTCTGTCCTCCAAGAAAAATAGGATAGTATTTAAATACTAATTAAATTGATTGTTCATCTGATAAAGGGCGGGTCTGGTGCAAGCGGTAGAGTCTTACCGCCTGTGACCAGAAGGTCCCGGGTTCGAGTCGCGGTCTCCTCGCATTGCACGGGCGAGGGTAAGGCTTGCCACTGACACCCTTCCCCAGACCCCGCACAGAGCGGGAGCTCTCTGCACTGGCTACGCCCTTTTGTTCATCTGATCAGATTTAAATTTAACAGGCCTCATGTTCCCACAGGTTATTATTCTTTTGTCAATCAAGTGTAGAATATCCCAAATAAAAAAAAGGTGTGCATTATTTATACTAAAAAAAGCATAAATAGAAAATCATCAACTCGTGTCTATTGGTCCAAACACAAAATGAAATATTGACATGTGACAAACATAAATAGAAGGTAAACTTTAAACAACTCACTTTACTCATTAGTGATACAAAAAGTTCAGCAATAGACTCTTTATTGCTGTCCCCAAAACCCTCGAATAGCGATACGTTCTTCTCAATACTTGCAAAATCTGTACCATCTGCAAGGGGATAGAAACTATCATATTACTATCTATAGCCTGATGATAGCATGATGATCCCAGAAAATGCAGTCAAGGGAGAATGGCATGTGCTCAGATTTGAGTACCTTTCAATATGGCAGAAAATGCAGGTAATATTGGAGGACGCCTTGTCTGCAATCCACATTATACAATTTAATGAGCACATTTATTTTTTCCTAGTTCAAATAGTAAAGAGTGTTTCTTCAACAGCCATCGTATACATTCAGGTTACAAATCTATTATGGAAATTCCATATGAACAGCGAAACTACTGGTCAATCTACTCATGATCATGCAGGTTGACAGATATCAAACAAAAGTAACCGAGTCAGTTTACCTGCAAATGGAAAGCAACTAAAGAAATAATTGCCATGGAGCTCATTGTTCGATCTTTGGGACAGTTAACATCATGTACCTTAGCCCAGAACTTCATCTGTAGAATAAACAGTAGCTGTTATCATATCATGTATATGAGGAGATTCATGTTACTTAGCATCTCAATCTAAACCAAGATATCAAGACAAAGAATCACAATACCAGATAACAAAGTATCCGGAATCTTTTATCAATTGATGAAATAAATTTAAATATCACTGATCTTGACATCCCATCTTTGTTTTCTACTGAAATATCACACTCTACACCAGTTCCCTGATCAATAACCTTCAGTACAGGAACTCTAGCAGTCACAATAGGTGAAACACCATAACAGAGACCTTGACCTGAAATTAGTAAGATAAAAAAAGAGTTAATTTCACAAAACTACAACTACTGTAACAAGGAACTACAACTTCTGCTGGCCATTTCATAAAACTACAACTTTGACCCCTAGTAACAAGCAACTACAGCTCTCAAGAAAACCAGTTGTGTGGCCCACTAAAACTATTCTCTATTTGGATGGCAGGTGGGTACGTTGTTGTTGTTTTGTGAAACGGTCACCGTTAGATTGTCACAAACGGTTGTCGTTTTGTAAAATTAATTCAGAAAGATATATTAGACAAGGAAAAGACAAAGCGTAACATTGCCATCAAAAGTTTCTTGCTAATTGCCTCGTCACATCCAATATGTACAGGGATGAAAATTTCATTGGCATTAACAACATTAATTGGAATGAAAACTTTACTGGCTAATTTTCCTAACTTTTTCCCTTCACTACACCCCTCTCATATCAATCCTACCCTACAACCTTATCAAGAAAGAATCCAATTATACAAGTGCCCATACAATAAAATAATACAAAGCTGCTTCCAAGCCGAGATCGCCATCCCAATACAATGTCCTTATAGTAATTTCACAACTGACAACTCACAACAATAATGAAACATTACAGGAAAATTAGTGCAAATAGCCTCTGTAGGCTATTAGTGACACGTTGGTTTTTACATGGGTGTGTTTGGATTGATGTTTTTCACAGAAGCAAATATTGAACTCAATGCAGCAGCCTATCTAAGGTGAGTTGAAGCATATGCATTACACATTTAGCTTTTCCTTCAAAACAGTGGTAACACACACATGGTGTTGCCACTGTATCAGAAATTTTGAAAAAAATATTTCAAAGCGATTTTATTGTGTCATATATTTGTGTTACAGCTCCATGCACATGCTGGCACAAGCTAGCAGAAACTGCAAATCCAGCTTCTCTGATTACTATAATACTATTGCTGGAGCTATTGTTTTCTCATATGAACCTTTATGGTCACTTCAAGATTACTTCGCTCATATATGAAGTCGCTAGATCTATTTCATTCCCTTATTCGATTCTATTAGCTCCAAGTCTTATTGTGCAAGTAATTCAAGTAACGGATAAGAATAAGAAAATCTAGAAGGGACAAAAAAATGCTAGGGAAGATGTGAGATGTGCTTAGAACAATAATTACGCTGATGAGAAAATAGAACATTTGCAAGCTTCCTAATAGCAGAAATCTTGTTCCTGCGAGGATACTGATCATTTGTATCAGTATTAAAGTTGATAGAGAGGTCCAGGTCACTTTTAGGAGTAAATAGATCCATTGTGAAAGATCCAAATGGTTCCACAATTGGAAGCCCATTATTTTTACCTGAAAAGTAACACCAACTGTGAACTCAAGTATTTTAAATGGAAAGCAAAGACTTCCTAATAAAAGTGGTAGCTAAAATTCCGCAGAACACACTATCAACTAACACTGACAAGAGGTGTGCTTGGCTGGAATGTAACACATTGTAACAAAGTTCCAACAAAAATTCTGAAAACGCAACAGGCCATCAATTAAACCAGGTTCATAATTTCAAATGCACTTCTATTTTTTTCTTAATGCTCTATCATATAGGGGACACAATTTTCTTTATATGTTCTCCTACCATTTGAAGCATAAATATAAGCTGATAAGATATCCTTAAATAAGGTGTATGGTGAAACCCTATTCTGCTGTTGCATAGTTATCCATAAACTTTCATGTGTTTTAAAGAGGTATTATTGGTTCATCAGTCAAAAACATGCCTGATTGCATATGCACTTATGATTTGCATGATAATATGCGTTCTGCAACCATTAACGAATGTGATCCATTTATTGGTCCCAAGCAAGTTTGGGTTTGTACAAATGTCTATAAAATGTAAATAAACATCTGTTACAATTAACAATGATCCCAAGAGCACATTACATGAAAATGAATCCTTGACCCCCATGATTCCATACAAATATTTTTTTTCTCGAACATGCAGGAGAACTCTCTTACCAAAAATTCCTCCAGCGATTTTGTTGAAAACGTTAATCATAATATGTCGGTGTTCATAGTCCACTGGCTGTGGTTGCAATGATGCATAGATGTCCTGCAACAATTCCTCTAGAACTGGAAGCAGAGAAGGATCAATGGCACACGCTTCTAACTCTATCTCACACCTTTCTGCATGGCTGCGTAATGCTGCATGTTATCCAAAATTTAGATCAGACACTAAATATATAGAACTTTCAGGTGCAGGTCCTCCTAGGTGGCAAGTACAGTAAGAAATATCTTTGTAACTATTTGTCTTTTGCATGCTCAGATAGGAAACGAATTTGTGCTCTTAAAAAGTTATATATGTACCGAAGACTGAAGCAACTAAAGCAACATTAAGCAAGCGATTATAGAATGAACCTACTATGACTCCTAATAGTAAATGTAACGAGCTACACGTGCACAGGAACGGTTACATGATATGGGTCTCGGTGTTTGGTTCAGAAACAGGTGTCCAATATGGCAGGATTTTAGGGAAACGCCAAATACCAACTGGGATCCAACACTGGTGCAGGGTATCTGACTCGCAAAAAGATTAGGGCACTGGTGTTCGGGTAACACATGTAAGACTGTCCATAATTGCATTCATTATCCAGATGCACACGATAAAACACAATATTTGGATGAACTTGACCACCCAATCAGGAATCAAGATATTAGGGAAAGGAATGTTATTTCTTTCTAATTTGATGAGGAAGGTTCTTTTCTCGAACTGCACAGCAGACAGTACAGTTTCCTGTAATAACTTTCCACACTGCATTAATACCTTGGCATTCTATCTACTTAGTTCCACTCTACAAGATCGCTCAATATACATACAGGTGATTGGGAAGCAACAAGCAAGTGCAGAAAGGCCGCAGGTAAGCACACAGAAATGTGTCCTTCCAAACTTTCACAAGGAAAGAAGAGAGCAGTGAAATACTTTGATGAGCAAGGTTCTTTTTCGAACCGCCAAGCAGAGTATATCTAGAGAGTATAGCTTCTTCTAATTACTTGCCGAATTGCATTAGTACCCTGGCATTGTATCTACTTACAGTTCTACTCTACAAGACCACTCCATGTACATACAGGTCACCGGGAAGCAGCAAGCAAAGCAAGTGTAGAAAGGCCCAAAGGTAAGCAGACAGAGATGTGTAAGCAAAGCAAGTGTAGCAAGGACGTAGGTAAGCAGATAGAGATATGTACCTGGGGAATCCCATGAGATTGCCACAGCGGGCCTGCACGATGGCAAAGAAAACAAAGCTCAAACACACGAAAAGCCGAAGAAATCTAGGTTTGCCATGAAACGCAAACAGAGCAACGGCGTCACGGCGGTTTCTGATCTAGCGGAGGAAATCCTACCACGGCAAACAACAAAAGCACGGACCTTTTCGCATCTAATGGGCAGAAATAAGTAAATAACCTACTAGAATCGTGCATCGGCATATCGAATTTCATCACCAGAGAAAAAGATAAGCAACCGAATCGAACAGTGAGTCGGAAGAGAGAGAAGGGAGGAGACGAAGAACAAACTTGGGACGGCGATCCCCGTCCAGGAGAGCGGGGGCTTCGGGTCCTAAAGGAACCGGAGGCGAAGCGGCGGCGGCGGCCATTCAATCGTACTAAGATCGGCAGCCGTCGTGATCGGCGGGAGCGAGCACCGCCGCGCCCGCGCCGTCTTAGCACGTCGGTCGGGCGAGGGTGGATGAGGGAAGGTTGCTCGGGTGGAAGGGTCAGAGTAAGTCTTACGTCCGACGAGGCATCTGCTGTGTGGACCCCGCAGCGGAAGTGGTAACGGAAACCGAGGGGTCTCCTCTCGCCGCCTAGTAAAAAGCGGGCCTCAATATGTGGGGCAGGCCAGCCGCAAATTCTTAAGTCCTTGATTGAAAAAGATCGAGAAATGTTTGCTAGGGATTTATCTATATACTATAAATGTTGCTAAAAAAATCTATATACTATAAATCTATATTTGTTAGCCCTAAGATAATTTATTGTTTAAGGGTATATCCACGAGATTAGCCAACTCACTTTTCTCAAAAGAAAAAAAGATTAGCCAAATCATTTTGTAAATGTAAATATGACTATTATTAGAAAAAAATTGTCTCCAACAAACTCTGTATATGGCACTCCAAATTTAGTAGCTCGTCATCGCTAAAATTCTGGTCTCCCATACATGGATAGCCTATGCCGCTCGCCATCCAGCCTTTTTCGCGCCAGCCGACTCCTTCACGTGCGCTGCCCCCTTCTTCCCACACAAATGCGATCTCGCGCACGCTATCTTCAGCTTCCTACGCCCACTCACGGCCCTTTGCCCATTCCCCAATCAATCATCGGCGGCGCCATGTCCCTACCGCCGCAACCCCGTGGTCCGGCACTTGTGTGTGGGGGTAAGGCAACATGGGCACCTAATCTATTATCTCTTCCTCCCCAACCATCCTCATCCTCGCCATAGCGCAAGAGACCGCCCCGATGTCCATGCCTCCTTCTCATGTCGTCCGCTGCAATGAGGTCACGTGTTGTGCTCGTCTTCGTTGTGGCCGCCTTGTGCCGATGCTCCTCGTCGCGTCCACCGCGCGCGCCGCCGACGAAGGCGGGTGCGGGGCCGACGGCGTGGTGGCGTAAGGCAACCAGCACGTAGATCAAGGCGCTCTAGATCATGGCGTTCTTCTCCATCATGGTGTGAGGTGGCGAATTCTCAAGGGTTGGCCTGATCTGCGGCTGTGAGGAGATGAGATGGACATTAAGGTGAAGAGATTGCTATAGATTTCACTTGAAGTTGCATTAATTTACATTAAGTTGTGAATTTCCCGAACAACAACTCATATTTCTATTGTCATAAAAGTTGCGATTCTCTACAGCCATGAGGAGAAGAGATGGACATTAAAGTGAAGAGATTGCTGCAGAGTTCACTTTAAGTTGCAGTAGTTTACATTAAGTTGCAAATTTTTTGAACAAAAACTCCTATTTCTGTTGTCATAAAAGTTGATCTTCAGAGTTAAGTGATTGCCTTACCTTCATCCAAATAACTGCCTTTCAGGTCACCCTGGGCATTCGGTTTAAACCGACAATTCGGTTCGGTTTATTCGGTTTCACAAAAGTTCGGTTTTTAAGAATTCCTTTGTCGGTTAATTAGAGAATGCAATCGTGCCCATTTCGGTTTCGGTTTCTTAATTAGGTTTTTGTTTGTCAAGAAAAACAGCCTACCTCCAACCTCATCTTCTAGCAAATCAATGCATGGATAGCGTGGAGCTTCACACGGATAATAGATGCGCCTTTTTTCCACCTTCCACTCATACAGAGAGTATGTTACCGTTTTGCATCCATTACCGCCATGATGCATGCTAAGATGATCCATGTACCGTCGCCTGAATAGTCGCGCCATGGAGCTAATTAGGGTTATCATATTCATACCGATTAGCACGCATTCGCCTGCGATTGCTGTTACAGCAGGCGCGCAGCCTCGTGGTAGTCGCAATTGTCCACACTGATTAGGGATTTAGGGCCGCCGTAAGGGTTGTGACTATTGAACCCCTCTCTACTTTGTAGTTTGTTGGATTTAGGGTTTGGGATGGGGAGTCGGATGGGAGATTTTCACTCCGGGTTATGCAATCTTGTGGGAGAGAGGGGACTCTGAGAGAGGGAGAGGGCTAAGGCCTCACAGGGCCTGCTTAGATATGTACGTCGTGGGCCTTGGTGATACAGATCGACCATCAAACATTGGGGAAGAGGAGGCATTTGTGACGGACACGGAGATTAGAACTGCGAGCCCCTAGTTTGGGACATGTTTTGATTCATAGTTCTATTGTAGGGTTAGAAACCGACTCCTCAACCGAACACCGAAGTTCCCAGGATCCAAAACCGAAACCGAACCAAAAAACCGAACTACTGACTATTCGGTTGGGTTTCGGTTTAGTTCGGTTCGGTGTTCGGTTTTCGGTGAAAAAGCGCCTAGGCTGACTTTCAGGAGCTAATGGAGAAGTTAAAGGTGCCATCACATGCTGAGTTGATGAAGATTACTATTGCTGACATTAATAATTCCTTTGTTTTGCTGGAGGACCGCCATCGTGCACACAATGATAATTGTAAATTAGGTACTTGTTTGTCAATATAAACATATGGTCGCAACCTCATCTTCGGCAAATCAATGCATGGATAAACGTGTAGTTACAGATAATAGATGTGCCCTTTTTTACTCTTGTCCATAACAGAGAGTATGTTAGTTTAGTTATTTACCTGTAAATGATGCATGCTAAGATGATCCATGTACCTGTTGAATAGTTATTTGTACTAATTAGGGTTATCATATTCATACTGATTAGGAGTCGCACATCCAAACTGATTAGGGTTACAACAGGTATACTAATTGGTGGCTCCAATAGGCATAATGATTAGGGATTTAGGGGTCACTGTAAGGGTTGTGACTATTGTTTGCCCCCTCTCTACTTTGTAGTTTGTTGTGATTTAGGGTTGCTTGAGGGGTTAGAACTATCATTTTCACTCCACCCTAGTTTGCAGTCTTGTGATTTAGTGTTACTTTAGGGGTTAGGACTATTGTTTGCCCCCCATCTTACAACATGTTTTGATTCATAGTCGATACAGGGTTGTGACTATTGTTCACCTTTGGTTTGTAGGCATTTGTGATTTTGGGTTGCTTCAGGGGTTAGAACTATTATTTTGCCCCTAGTTTGGGACATGTTTTGATTCATAGCGGATGTAGGGTCATCACTATTGTCCCCCCCTAGTTTGTAACCAATTGTGATTTAGCGATGCTTCAGGGGTTATGAGTACTACCCACACACACAGTAGCTTATAGCACGTTTTGATTCACAGTCAATCCAAGGTTGTGATTATTGTTTGCCCTCTCCCTAGTTCTGCTATGATCTTACATAAGTGCGGGAGGTTTGATTTTGGTTTCCCTCCACCCCACTCCACACAATGTGATTTAGGGTCATTGTAGGGGTTGTGAGCTGTGGATGTGAGTTTTCCTCTAGTTATTTGCAGCTTGTGATTTAATTTATCACATCATATTCCTAAGAATTGCCAACACGCCTTAAGTTACTACATACCTAGTCTATATTGGAGTTGATTTTACATACTACATACCTAGTCTATATTGGAGTTGATTTTACATAAGTTTTTATCACATAGTTATCACATAGTTTTTTCACTACATAAGTTATCCATAGTTTTATATAAGTTGCGCGATTTTATTCGACAAAAGTTGCTACTTGGGTCCTATACATAAGTTCATACATTGTAACAACGAAGGCTTTTATATGATCTCTTCATAAATTGCTATTAAACATTTATCATAAGTTGCTACACTGTCTCTACATCAATTAAATACATTATCTCACTTCAAAAATAAATACATTATCTCAATATAAGTTGTTACATGTCTCTTAGTAAGTTGTGGTTGTATAAAAGTTGTCGTATATTCTTTATATATATTGATCATAATAAGTTCATACATGGTCTCCATATAATTACGACTTAAAAGTGGTAGTAGACATACCATTTACTACACCATAAAACATAGGCTATTGACATGTGCATGCACAACTGCTTTAGACTAGACATTCATGACAAGCCATTATTTGCAAAATACTACATAAGTCATTACACAATCTGTACACAAGTTACTATTGTACATTCAATATGGATCTAGTTCTATAGGGTTCGTCGTACAAAGCACAAAAACATACACTTTATGAGAGAAATATGCGCATTTGAAGAAAATATATCTAATATTCTCGCTAACATCAGTGGCGGCATCATCCATAAAAGTGACTTGTGCATGTTGCTACATGCTAGGCCTACTTGGATGCCAGCCATAAATTGCCACACCGCATGTGCGACGGCGCCACCGTTTGTGGAGTGAGAATTCAGTACCAGAGTAATGGGATTTGTGACGCTTCTGCTATGGAAGTAATTGTGGTTGTCTAACCAGTCTCATAAACCAAGCATCTAACCTTGTACCGGCCTTAATTCTTGGTACATTAGTTTGATTAATTCAGCTAATATTTAATCATTTTTTGGCCGATTACTTGAGTTCAGGATTAGTTTAGTCAAGCATCATGTGAAAACAAGGATAAGGATGTATCATCAATATTTGTGACGGATTAGAAATTAGTCTTGATGCTTAAGTTCTGAGACATAGGCTGCAGATGTGTACAAGATTTTATAAAGACCTTGTACCGGCCAAACATGTATACAAGATTCTATATGCGACTTTGTTGTGCAATTTTTGCATTTTGGTCCCTTTTGAAAACATTTTTTACAAAAAGATCTATGCCAAAACGTTTGCTAAAAATAGATCATTTTTAGGCGTCTTAGAACATGACGCCAAGGTATGAGGGTCGGCGTCGACTGACACGACGCCGAGGTCTTGCCACGTCACGGACGACCCCGGTCGACGGCGACACGGTGGCGCATGGGGTCCGACACGTCGGCGTTGTGTCAGCCAACGCCACAGGCCCAACCTCGACGCAGTGGGACTACACGCCGAGCTATTGGCACCATCCGGCGCGCGGCCCAGGCGGCCCAACAACGCTTCGTGGCCCAATAGCTCGGCGTGGGGTCACTTAACGCCGAGCCACCAGACTCGGCGCGGCCCGACTCAACGTCGAGGTTTGGACTCTTGAAGCCGCGCCACGGCCCCCTTCTTCTTCCTCCCTCCATTCAGAAGACTGCAATTGGGCCCCCTTCTATCCGAAGACTGCAATTTATGAAATAGCAAATGCACAACGATTACACTCACATC